TGATTTCTTGACTGCTGCTTCCATGAGTGTTAATAGTTGATCCAAGAAGATTGAAGTCCTTGACAACTTCAATCTTTTCTCCTTTGATAAGAATGTTGTTTATTGGTCTAGTGGTAAGGATTTTTGTTCTCTTTTGATAAGAATGTTGTTTATTGGTCTAGTGGTAAGGATTTTTGTTTTCTTTACATTGATATGTAATCCATACCAAAGGCTGTGCTCTTTGATGTGCATCAGTAAATGTTTTAAGTCCTCTTTACTTTCAACAAGCAAGGTTGTGTCATTTGCATATAGCAGGTTGTTAATGAATCTTCCTCCAATCCTGATGCAAACCTAAAAAGGACATTAATTTTGTTGTTGTTGTTGAGTGCTATCAAGTCAGTTCCAACCCATAGCAACCCTGTATAGGATTTTTGAGGAGCAGCTGGAGAGCTTGAACCAAACTTGCAGTTCAAGTGCAGTACCACAGTACCACAAAATTAATTTTAAAGACTATTAAAAGAATATTCTGCATAGGTGAGTGAGGGTAATGGTTTTTTACAAATTAATTTATTGCATTTTTCAAAGCAGAGTGAGTCTTCTTTTCATAACTTCAGCAAACATCGGGAAACAAAATAAAAAATAATTTCACATATTTTAAAGCCTGAAAAGAAAGAACAAATCTGTTGATGAACAGAAAAGCAAAGTTATAGATAACTATCTAGCCCCTGGATGGGGAAGACCATCTCAAGCAGAAAGGCAGTGATATAAAACATAAAACATAGAAAGAAAGTGATGGATTGTCTTACAGAAAAAAAGCATGGATTGCAATAGAAAAATTGTTCTAACAAGTCTGATAGACAACTATTTCTCAAGAGATAGTTTTCACAACTAAAGAAGAACAAAAGGACTGAAAAAATAATTTCCAGAAATAAATTAGAAGATGTAAAATATCCTGTTTCATTAGTCATCAAAATATGCAAATTAAGCACAGTGAATACTTTCATCTGCCAAATTGGCAAATATTTTTGACAGTTATTTTATCCAATGCTCATGTGTGTATTGATAGAAGATATTCTGGGGAAAAAACAAAAAACAAAACTTGACTTCATAATGGGTCATGTCACTTCACAAAAATTATGCACACAGTTTGTATTTCACAACTTTTTTTTTAGTGAAAATTAAAAGGGAAAGCAATTAAAATGTTTATATAAAGTGTACTTATTTTATTATCACATATTATGGTGCATACTGATTAAATATTAATCAAGTGGATATTAAAGTGATCTTTAAGAAAACTTTATGATGTGGAAAGATACTTACAATGTAATGTTGAGTAGAAAACACAAGAAATAAAATGGTATACCTGTTATGATCTCCATTGCCATAATAACTTACATACATAGAAAAATGTATTAAAAGGTACACTAATGACTAATAATGCATATCTGAATTATGAGATTATCCTACCAAACTCCCCCTCAATAAAATTTTTAATCCTCCACGATGCTCTTTAGAAGACGAGATTACCAGACATTGTCTCTCATAATTTGGACAAATCTAGTCATCTTGTCTTCTAAGGAGCATTCTGATTGTACTTCTTTCAACACAGGATACATGTGGAGTGTTCTAAATGAAATAGGAGTCCTGGCATATGTCTTAATAGTTTGTGCAGGAAGGTATAAATGTGAAAAGGGTTTAAGGATGCAAATTTTGGTGAGAAGGCAAAAGGTTTACAGAATGAACTCTTTGATGGTCCCTATTTTATTGGAGTCCTGGTGTGGCGCTGCAGGTTAATGCACTAGAATGCAAAGTCGGTTAGAATCACAAGGTGGTGGTGGTGGTGGTGGTTAGGTGCCGTGGAGTCGGTTCCAACTCGTAGTGACCCTACACAGGGCTTCCAAGGCTGTAAATCTTCACGGGGGCAGAAAGCCTCAGCTTTCTCCCGCGGAACAGCTGGTAGTTTCGAAATGCTGAGTAAGGTTCGCAGCCGGATT